TTTATCTTGATTTTATGGATTAAATCATATTAATTGGATATAATTTGGATATTGTTTGGATAAATCATTGTTTTGGTAAGCTAATTATATTTTAATTCTTCCCAATTCGTGTAATTTCATGCTAAATTTCATGTTTTAAAGTGAAGTCATTTCCAAAATGTAAAAATCATCAGTTCATTTCAACTTCTCATATACCTGTAAGATCCTGGCTTGAGCATTCAAATATTCTTTAGAAAAATGATCAATGTAATTTATGTTAGTTGACTTCATTCCACAAGTCATGGCTGGCATTGGTGTGTTGCTTCCTTTCTGCGCTACCCCTCCCACTCGGCCAAGCGAGAGGAAAGATAGCTGCACTGGGAGCGATCATCCAACTTAGCAGCGCTGCCAGTTCTCCCCCAGGAGCGGTTGAGAGCGGCTAAGAAGTCGCAACATGACATTGCATTTATCTGCACTCCTTAGATTTGATTAGGGCATCAGTAATTCTCTTAGATCTATTTTAATTGACACTTATCCTCATGATTTATCATTATTTTCAAACAAAATGATGTAATTTTAGTTAATAAACAAACTATATTCTTATTGTAATTCAAATTAATTCACTATTCTGTTCTCTTTTTCCCATTTGACGGCTTCAGGGAGGGAGCGCCATCTGGGGATTACCCGTAACGCCTCTGGGAGTCATGTTGTGCTATTTTATTCGCTACGCTACCAACATCTATCAGTAATTAAAGAGCGCGCTGCCCCTGGGGTGCTACAGAACCCTTTGCGTCGGTAACACAACAATGAGTTTAATTGATGGAGGTAGAACCTTTTCTTACCCTTGAATAAAGGGCTTGATAAAGCTATTTTAAAGCATTAACGACCATTGTGATTTAACAAGTATTTGTTAAATCTGGTTTATATCACAGAGAACGGTGTCTGTCCTACCAGCCCAATTAAAAGTCTGTTGACAGATCCAAATAGGCCGGGACAATAACTTATCTTAATGCTATACCAACTGTTCTGTAGTAGTTTGGTTTACACAGTTTTAGCTTTGCATCTTGAGGAAGTCGGACGCTTATATTATATTCTCAAAACACTTACATCTATACTATAACAGTATTTGTTAACTATATTATTTGGATTATCTAATCACTTCGTTTTTTACACACGGCTGTAATATATACCATGTAATCGCGAAATCGAGGAGTTGGGAGCCGAAATGCCTCAAAGAACATCACAAACGTACTTCGAACATATAAATGAGCGCGTGAACGCAAAAATACTAGAAAGATGCTGCATATACAGAAGCCGAACATGATAAAGACCAGAGTAGAGAATCGGCTAAAAATCGTTTGACACCTGCTTTAATAGAATATGAATGGGGCTTATACTGCAAAGACAGTCTTGCCAGAAGGGTGTTTTCTTAACGAACGTATATAACGATCTCTGTTGTTGGGGTTTCACAGGAGTTACGTCTACGTTATGGTCATTCAAATCCTCTTCCTCAAGTTGAAAGCACTATTATTGACTAACGAACGAAGGAGCCTGGTGTAAAGTAAGCTGCAATCTCGTCATTGACGCTAGGCACTCCAACTAAGAATCTTTTTATCTCAGGTAATGTTATTCTCGATTGTTGCCATTTGCATTTTATTTTCCTGTTCTGCATTTCGCTTAGCGTACCACCTTGAGGATAGCTTGATATAATCTTGTCGGGAAACACGGGCTCTTCATAACATTGCAATTAGGCTCGTGTTAAATTTGATTTACAGAATATAAATTCAACAACAGCTACGATACAAGGCTTTTCCAACGTCTGACGCACATCTAAATATTTTCTTATCCATATGAACAAGGCAATCATAACCGAACAGTAGAAGAAGATCTCTTTATATTATTTGCACATGAGAAATATTCTTCGTCTTCTTGACAATTCCATGGAGGGGCATTACTGTCATTTCTTCTCTTTTAAGGTTTGGAAACTCCAAGTAGGTTTTCCGCCCCTAGTTTTCCGAGAACAATTATATAAAGCTGTTTTTAAGACAACGAGACCAATCAATTTGCCTTGAAATGGTTTGCATTGTCCATACTTTAGAAACATCAGTGACATTTTAAATGAACACGGCCTTGGCGATGTTACATTCAGAAATGACCTTGAACGGTATTAGATCATTCTGATAATTACTCATCACTTTTTCTGTCTTCAACTAGAAATATATGATTCTAGCGTGAAGCTAATGGAAGGCCATGATTTCTCATGTTGGTATTAGATTCTATTCTGGTTACATTCTCCCAACATCACACAGTTCTTTCCTTGCTGAGGCCCCACGGAAGTTTTACTCATTACATTGGTAGAGTCATTTATTTGCATACATATTTATTTACTTGCATTGTTTATTATGTTTTTATAATATTTATATTCATTCCAACAGTGCAACTGTTTTAAAAGTTAAGTTCGGAATGCTAACTGGGATGAACAGAGGATCTAATATCGTATCGTCACCAAATTACTCATATTTAGATATCAACAATCATCTTTTACCACGAGGGAGTCCTTTACAGGTGCGCCCAGTCGATTCCTCTTCCCAGAGGACCCAAAACGGCATAATTTGGTCTATAAACCTCATGGGATTAACATTTAGTAGCAGGCATATGTTGAGATGTCAACTTGAGGTCAACTCATATTTTGGATACATATCCTCGGTGATTTTGGTCTTACACTTCGGCTAGCTGCATCCTTTATTCAAAAGATTGCATTTATACCAATTTAGCCATTCGAGTAGTTTCATGTCAGGGGTAATAAGATAGCATTATCTGACTAGAGAGAACGCAATCTGCGTAGTGCAGTTTTCCAATCGTCATCATGTCTCATTACTATCATCGATGTCGCTATTATCACCTTATTTCTACAGTATTCTCTTCTTGTGAAACATTAAATTGTTTGCAATCTTGATAGAAATTCTCGGAATGATGCTTTATTATTGAAACTTAATCTTTTAAGTACTATGTCGTTGTTTTTTTTAAAGCTGTTAACAATGCAATATATATTTATACTATATACATTGGCAGCAAGGATGAGTTAGCGTTTTCATAACAGCCACGTCCCATTGGGTTGCTAATATCATCATAATCCCAATTCATCTACGTTTGTTTAGTTTCTATTAGAAATGACGGAATATAAGAATGAGAGTAGTTTTTTTTAAGAATGAATACTGCTTTTGGTTATTTATGTTGTAGATTTCCAAGAGACGTGCTGGAAAAAGCCAGGTTCAAGAAGGGTTCAAATGATCAAACGGTTTCAAGTCCAACCTTCACCAGATCATGATCTCGGCTTACACGCATATGACATCGACACCGATACCACATTAACCCTATCGACCAGGTCTTTCAAGACACAACTTGGAAGTCAAATAGCATTTGTCAGTATAAACACACATTGATAGCAGACATCTGAATAGAATTCATCCCTTCGCAATATTGGGCACATTTGGACTATATTTAATCGGCGGGTAAGCGTCCGACTTCCTCAAGATGCAAAGCTAAAACTGTGTAAATCAAACTACTACAGAACAGTTGGTATAGCATTAAGATAAGTTATTGTCCCGGCCTAATAACGCAGGTGCGGGTAGGTAGTTACCAGATTCACCACCAGGTGGCTTGTTCGGGTCAGATAGCATGGTGGGTATAGTAGAAAGTTCCATTTAACTTAAATTACATCTATATGCGTGGTTCAATTTTCATATAATCCTTATGTGTCTAATAGTTATGCAAATTAAGATATGTCCAGTAAAAGAAAATGTTATCTGTCAAATACAAGAAAAAATAATTCACTTTTTGTGATTTTGTAACATGGGGTCTATGAGGAATCAACCCGAACAAGAAGTCACATTTTCAAAAAAAATTAAATTTTCAAAGTTGATAGACAATTTTCGAAACCATATTACTAGATGTACTTTTACATGCAGATTTCAAATACGACATCACTTTGACTGAATTTTGAATATTTAATGACGTAAATCAAGATTATTTCTACTCGCATCTAGTTTATTGGATCTGTCAACAGACTTTTAATTGGGCTGGTAGGACAGACACCGTTCTCTGTGATATAAACCAGATTTAACAAATACTTGTTAAATCACAATTTATATCCAAAGAACATGTGTACGTTTTATAGATTTTATTACATAAAATATAACATATTACAATTTAACCTTTTTGGCATGGGGAGACGGCTATCTATCGATCAGAGCTTGCGTAATTGTATACCAAAGAAACAATTACGTAATCATGAGATAATGTTACGTAATGACAGCGCAAAATCATGATTATGCAACCTTATATAATCATTAATCTTTGGGATAAGAGCCCAAAAACAAGTATACTCGTGAACGGAGTTTAAATAAAAAGCTCTGTGAACGATACTCTTCTGATCATGCAATATCTAAGTTTTAATCAGCGCAGTAAGACCTTTAAATATGACAATGACTTTCTCCAAGTTGTCCGATCGACGCTGCGATTCACTCATATGTTTGAGTCGTGGATACAGAGTTCTACTCTTGTACTGACTAAAGAAGAGTCTACTTTTCAAAATAGAGGATACATTACAATATCAAATGATGTAAAGCAAATTTAATTCTCTCCAGTTGTTGCATTTCAACTTTGACATGGCATGTACAAAATTTTAAAAGTCTCTGTAACTCTCTGCGTGTAATGTTGCCCCGGGTATTGAGATATCATGTTACCATGGCAGCCATAACTCTACCCGAGTTACATAATTTTTGTCGAGAGTTTGCAATTTTAGTTACAATACATGAAGGTTAAATGAATCTGATATACACATCATCACAAGTGAATCATCTATTAATACATCACTCTCATTTTGATAATGACAATTGTAGATTTTGATTGATATTAAAAGTGTTCAATTCAACAGGTTCATTTAGATTTGTGAAATGCAACCCGTGTAAGGGCTTGTTATCTTATAAAAGGTAAATGACATTTTATATAAGTTGCCCTAGTCATTCCACAGTTCCAGGTGTTATTTTGTGAAGAGCCCATGTCTTGGCATAGTCTTGCTCAAAGACTGTATCCACCCCGTCACCTTCACTCTTTTTACCTGGCAATATACAGAGAGAAGGATAAAGGGGGGTACAGGGTCTTTTAAGCAAGACTAGTCTTGCCAAATCACACGTGGAAATGACTTTGACAAACCTGTAAAAAGTTAAATCGTGGACATCTTTCTTTCGGTCCAAGGACTCGTAGACAATTTGCATTGTCTGGTGCCTAAAGGTTATGTTGAATGCCGCCTCTTGTATTTTTCATCTGCCTCATGTACACAAAGTTACTGAAACCATAATGTAACTACCCTCCGTCTCGTGTTAAATTTTGAGCATCTAACTTCTCTTATCATAAAATCTAAAGCCAACGGTAAGAAACTTCTGATCGACCCTTGTATTGTGAGGAATAAAACTGATTTTGAGAGAAGAGTAGCACAGTCCAGTCCATGCTCTATTGTAAAATACTAGTGGGGAAACAAAGAAGAAATATTTTTAACAATCTAGATCTATAAGGCCAGTATTTTAGAATATTACATTGCGAGTGGCATCTAAATTGGGAAAGGAGTATAGCAGTGTCCTGGCTTTCTTTTTTATTCATAACTGGCTATGGTCCCCAACTAACAACACGGACTCTAGATCTATATGTTTGTGTCTCTTACACTTTAACCCTCCGGTATAAATCATATCTCTATATAAAGAATAAGCTAACTTGACACTCATATATCACTGGTCATTATCAAGCGAAGGTAACGGCTGTAACCTTCGCATCTAAGATGGCGGACGGTTTTCATCGAATTAAACTATTTTGTTGACTTTATGCTTTGGTATTTGAACCAAATCAGCCTTATATAACATGGGAACCACATTGCAAAGTACCACATTGACCCATACACAATGCATATTTGCATTAGTCAGTTTGGTAGTTTAAATGTGTCAAAACGGACGTGCAGACGAATAAACAAAGGAGTCGATTGGGCAAATTCATTTAAGCCCACCATGTAAACCAATAAAAAGTATACTGTCAAAGCTACACTTACCCGTTTTATTGATAACACTTACGAAATGCAAGTGTGGAATAAACCCCAGTTTTGCTGTCATTCTCTGTTGATTTCCATGTTCGTCTTCAGCTGCCATTGTGTAGGGCTCATCAGTTCCAGCAGAGTATATAGCGACATCTATACCATATAGTTTGGTGAAGGCATACAGCATAAGATTATCCCCCCATACACCCGGTTTCGCCATATATTCATCGGTATACCAGGACAATTGTCGATTAGGGAGATCTTCAGTTGGTTCAAGGGTTGCTGCAAATTGCTGCCAGTCTTTATTATCCTCCGAATCAAAAAGCGTCATAACATGTTCACCATTGGGCTAAAAAGAAAAAAATGAATTGCAGTTGGATACATTGTTGGAGGGGGTTTCAATTGAAAGTAAACTTGAGAGTTCATGCACTTTCAAGGAAAAATGTACGCGTGACATTAAAAAGGGAAATATGGAACGTTTTACCAACAGATGACACTGAAATTCATGAAATCGAAATAAATAAACGTTGAGAAAAACGTTTGCCTATTTTGTGAAAAATTCATTCTTACCAAGATTGGATGTACTTGAATGCATTCCAATAGTAATTGTCGTAGATTATTTGCAGACACCTGCGCTGATGTTAGTCGTTTCAACTGATCGCTAAGAGCTTCGAAGAGACAATCTCCCATTCCACTGTTCTCAACTATGGCCAAACCATGCCTCTCTAACACGGGGTCAAGTGGTGCTAAAAGCAAAATACTCAATCACTCAATTGTAAAAGTTCATATGCCTGACAAATGAGTCATACGTGTAATTACTCAGCACGTTATTGAAGAAATTCGGATCAATTTAGAACAAAGAAAAGGTTATTGATATTTATGCCTTAAAATCCTTAGTCCGAGATACCTTCATTACTTTTACTTATTCATTTATTTGGCATGTTAACTTGAAATGTAAAAGAACTAATACTACAAATAAATTATACATACATTCCGTTTCTCGAGGCCCGGGGTTCAAATGAACTCCACCTATACGACCAGCAAAGTTACAATTACCAACAGCAAGGGAAACACTCTTAGCCTAGAGGTTGCCTCGGGATTCCCCTCCACTCCTTATGTGGCATTTTTCTTTTCGGGTGATCTCTTTGAAGGGCGGGAGTGAAACCGACACTTCTCGCGAGAAAGTCCACGGGGAGATAACGTGCCGATGGCAGCACGCCATTGCTCCAATGAATTTCCCATTGTTAGCTAAAATTATGAAACTCTTCATCATTTATAACTCAGGCTCTTAGCTCTTAACCCCCCCCCCCCCCCGGCCAAACATTCTTTCAATAGGATACGTCAATAGGATCTTCCTGCTACATACTTTGGGGGTATAACCACTCGTAGTCAAGGATGAGAAATTGTATTGGTCACCTCATTTGATACCAGAGGGGTGTAGCCCAATATAGCCCCGGGCATAGGGTGGTATGGGGACCCTACTAGTTAGTACATGGTTGTAGCCAATATTCGTTCCTGGTATTGGGTGGCATAGGACACCTCACTAGTTAAAATAGAGTTGCAGCTTAATGTAGCCCCGGCTATAGGGTGGTATGGGACACCTCACTAGTTAATAGAGTTGCAGCCTAATGTAGCCCCGGCTATAGGGTGGTATGGGACACCACACTAGTTAATAGAGTTGCAGCCTAATGTAGCCCCGGCTATAGGCTGGTATGGGACACCTCAGTAGTTAATATAGGATTGCAGCCTAATGTAGTCTCGGACCAAGGAGGTGAGGGACTAGTCAGTGTGACTGGGGGGGGGGGGGGTAGGGATGATTAGGGGAAGTCTTAATGTCACAGTCCATATTGATAGTCAATGTTAGTCGGGGGGGGGGGTACGTATAAGATTAACATTAATTAATACATTCATTAATACAAGTTACATAAAGAATAAGATCTGACTTGTAACATATAGTGTAAAATATACCCAAATACCACTCAACTCCTACATGGCTACAAATGGCTACAACTAGAGCTTGGCTATTCGAGGCTAGCCCAACCTGACAGCCATTTGTAGCTCCCATTACAGTTCATTTGGGATGGCGTGAATCACCCCATGAATCATCATGATTTAAACTCAAAGTTCCATTGAAATTACATCAAACGTTTGACTCTAAATAACAACTGAACCAGTTAACGAAATGCGTTCAAACTTCTTGACCAATTAAATAACTACTTCATAATTACCTTAGGACAACATTCGCCACGATTTATCAACGAAAACTACTATACATCCAATTTAAATGTAGAGATATGAGCAACCTGTGTTCCACCATTATGCAATTTGCGAATTTTCAAAATTCTTGGGTCACTTTGACACAGACACATTCAATAAAAGCAACTGTGAAGCCGTTTTTCTTAAAGTTTGCAGACAAGGATTTTAGCATTTGACTTCAAAATGGCCGACAGGAAGTAGGTATCGAGTTAAATTTTTTTCATCCACATCTGTAAGCACTTATAAATTATCCCTGAAAATTTGAAGGTGATATCTGTAGCGGTTTTGGAGAAAACGGACGGACAGACAAACAGAAGGACGCGCCTAGGCTGACAATATGGCCCCACACTATGTAGTGCGGACATAAAAATACATCTTTGACTTTTTGACCTTGAGAAAGTCATCGAAGGTCAAATATCTAAAGTCAGATTTTAACTTCTGATAACTTGAAGACGAACCTTGTTGGAACAAAATAACATATACAAAATTTTCTTAGACCCCTCAATATAATAGTTTTACAAAGAAAATTTTGTTTGATTTTACAAAAAGTATTCATCAGAAAATTAAATCAACAAAACTTTCCTTTGTACAATTACAAAACAATATAGAGAAAAGTATAAAATTCAAAAGACAATCACTAGATTGACAATGTGTAAAACTTTCAGTTTTTTGATGACTGGTTTAAGAGAATATAAGAGATATGTTATAAATCGAATTCTAATATTTAACTATAATATAATATATATTTATTTTGTCATGCAGTCATACATTTGTAGCAGATAACATAATAATATCTATGTGTACTTTACATCTGGCAGTATAAAGACCATAGGCTAGTTAAAAACTTAAAATGGAAGGGCAAACTGTTTTTTATGTTGTCACATCAAAGTATGTTTGGAAGTTCTCTTTTGGATAACTTAGCAAAGCCTTTACATATCATGCTTTGCAATTAAGAAAATCATCAAATTTGTCATACGTTTCTGAATTATTGTAATTAAACTCCCCATCTATAATTTGAAAATATTTTTTTATCATGACTTAAAAAGTTATTTAAGAGATTTTTTCGGAACCATTTTCATGCAATGATAAGTTCATTTCTCGCTTATTTATGAACCGATTTTCTTAATTTCTTCTGCAAAAAACATGCGAGGATGAATGCTATGCGTTGGTATGACTTGTGGCTGATTAGAAGATATGTGTGACCTCTAAAAGTTAGTTTTAAACAATTTCACAAATTTTGGAACAAAAAGTCTATCAAAAACCACTTTTTGAAATTTAAAAAAAAAGTTTCACATATCACACTTTGATAACATTGGGTAAGACTACAATATAAGCCAAAGTGGTTTAAACTTTATATGGGAACTTAACACAATTAAGATTCAAACATTGACAGGCTTTGATTGCTATCCAAAGAAAACATCAAGTTACCAAACAAATGAAGGGGAGTGTGCTTATCAAAACTCACATTTGTGTGATAAGTTTTAAGAAAACATATACCAAGTAAATAGGGCTGATCAATAACTTCCAATGATAATTGTGTTACTTGTATGTGACCAATATTGCAACTTATTGAAGAACCCTTATACCTGATAGTGTATGCTTGAATACAGGGTTACCCAAAACCATAGGAAGTTACTTGAGATAATTAGTTGGGAAACGTTTTTGAGTCAACCTGTATCTAAAACACACATAAAATAAAAAACTTCAATCGCTTTAGTTCTGAAAGTATTTTGGAACCTTTTTATGTTCCGACATTATGCCATAAAATAAAAAAAATATTTTTACCATATAACTGTGACTGAAATGATAATTGCCTGGAGAACAAGCAAGCTCGAAGAAACAGTTTTAATCTTTTTTTAGTTTTGCCTTCATATATTTGATAGATAACTTAGCCATTACAGTAGAACCTGTACATCCAAACATATCTCTAATCTTGTATCATATCGACAGATACTAGAATTCTGCACTACAAAATGCAAAATTCTGTAAGAAAATTCTGCGAGCCAAAATGTGAAATTCTGCAAATTTTTTCACAGCATTTTTTATCGAAATAATTTTTTTTTATATTGGCCAGGAGTATGCGAGTATCTAGTGTTAATGTACTCTGTGACTCACATTAGGTGTTCCTACAAAGCAACCTCAAAAAATAAAAATAAAATTTCTGTTTAAATCAGTAAGTGAGGTACAAATGATTCAAACCATCTACAAGCACCTGAAACAATGCTAGGTAAGCTTTCAGTTCAATTTATGTTCTCAAAGCATGAATTCTGCAAAAATTCCGCAAAAATAAACAGAAATTCAAAAAATAATATTCTGCAAATTTTGCAGAACTAAATATTCTGCATTTTTTCTCCTGTAGCGCAGAAAAACAGAATTCTGGTATCTCTGCATGTAATCCTCTCTATTACAGTATTCTGAACTTCTCCATGAAAGATCATCCAAAACCTTGGAATATGCGTATTTACATCTATGATACATTAAGAAGTATTTTCACCGTTTACAAACTACGCCAGATATTTGCTTTGTCAGACTCCTTGCCTTTAGAATATCATAAGCAAGCTTACAGTATTATGTGGTCTTGTTATTCCATGGATTTATCTACAAATAAACTTCTCCTCTGTTTTTTCCCCGAGCAATTATCTTCAGAAGTTTACAGTGAATTGCTTGCATTTATGTACATAAAGTTTATTCTTACACAGGTTGTCCGTAAAGTCTCTTTTCAAATAAAATACAAAGTCTGACAAGTAAAGACAATATGGACACCCTGACTTTTTTATTGATTCAATTATGTATAAATCCTGTTTCAAGATCTTTTCTCCTTTTAAATTTGTTGCACTTTGAAGTTAGTAGTCTTTTCACGTTACTCAACTCCATATTCAAATATCATAACAAGTAGTCTTTCCATGTTACTCAACTCCATGTGCAAATATCATTACTAATCCTGGTGAAACCTGGAGTTCAGGGGGAATGTGTGGATTTTCACACATCATCACAACCACTGCCTGCTTTCCTGGAAAAGAAATCCAATATTAAGTTCAATGCAAGCTATTGTAACCATTCAGTCATTGACACATCAGAGACACAATGATGAATGACACTTTGATTGCTAAATGACACATCTCCCAATGACCCATCAAATAAATTGTTCAATTCATGTCTAAGCGACACATTTCCATATGGCACAACAGTCAAAGCCAAACTCCTCAATGTCACATGAGTAAGTTATGATTCAATGTCAATTTAGACACACAAATGACATATCTTTAGAGTAAAAAGAAGACTGCCATTTGTTGTTTCATATCCCCAAGACAATAACCCTGATCTTGCTTCAAGGCCTTGTAGCCCCTGTGTCTGGGTATTGCAATGCCATACCATAGCAAAAAACTCTTGTTTGATGAAATTTTTTCAAAATGCACTTTCAGTCCAATATACACACTTATATTATTAGAATTTCTTGATTCAGTGTCGCCACAGAATTTGGGATTTCAAATTTTTTTGCACAGAATTTCGCGGAAAACTTCAGTTTTCCTGTCAACCATCTCATCCATATTTGTCACTCACTTTGACACACTTATACGGTCATTTGTAATCAGAAACGGGTGGTTTGAGGATTTCATCAGATTTCTGCACAGTATTTCCATTTTTCTCATGCAGAAAACTACTAAGTGTGAATATTTGTAAGTTTTTCATGTGAAAAATTGAACAATTTGCAGAAGAAACTAGAAAAACAGCAACTCCACGGAGTAGCAAATCCCACTGAACAGCCACCTTGAAAATTTCTTCTCAAGCAGAGCTCCTTTATCTATAGGCATCAGTTTATAAAATTTGAAGTAAATCCGTCCAATGGTATTTGAGTTATCAAAGATTACCTTTTTTATGAAAAATGGCAGCCATTTTGAAATTCAGCTGACCCCTTTGAAATTTCTTCTGAAGCAGATCTCCTATTTCCCTAAACATCAGGATATAAAATTGGAACCAAATCCATTCACTGGTATTTTAGTTATCAATGATTATGTTTTTTTAACGAAAAATGGCGGCCATTTTGAAATTTAGCTGCCATCTTGAACATTCCTTCTCGAACAGAGCTCCTATGTCCCTAGGCATCAGCATGTAAAATTTGAACCAAATCCATTCAACAGTATTTGAGTTATCAAAGATAACATTTTTTACAAAAAATGGCCGCCATTTTGAAATATGGTTGCCATCTTGAAAATGTCTTCTTGAGCAAGGTTCCTTTGTACCCAGGCAACAGCATATAAAATTTGATCCAAATCTATTCAATGGTATTTGAGTTATCAAAGATAACGTTTTTTTACGAAAAATGGCCGCCATTTTTAAATATGGCGGCCATCTTGAAAATGTCTTCTTCAGCAGGGCTCCTTTGTACCCGGACAACAGCATATAAAATTTGAACCAAATCCATCCACTAGTATTTGAGAAATCAAAGATTATATTTTTTCCGAAAAATGGCCGCCATTTTGAATTTAGCAGCCATATTAAAAATTCCTTCTCGAGCAGAGGTCCTACACCCATAAGGCATAAGCCTACAAAATTTGAATGAAATCCGTTAACCGGTATTTGAGTTATTGCCCGGACACACGAACGGACGGACGAACGGACGGACGGACGAACGGACGGACGAACGGACGGCTTTTCTATATCCCCCTCGAACTTCGTTCGGTGGGATAACAATAAACTAGCTCCAGTCCTGTTACTTTTTGAACACCCTGTAGTACATTGATACCAGTGGTGGATAACAAATGAGAACTTGATATGTGCCCATTGATAACTGACACATATATAGGTGACACTCATTTGTGACTTTAATTTAATTGAAACCGACACACAATGTTTTGACACATTTATACTTTCGCATTTATGACGGACACAATTATATTTGACACATTTACATGTGACACACTGACAAACAATTATATGTGATACACCTGACAGTAAACATGTATTGTAATTGTGTATGTTTACTAACATATGCAATAAATGATAATATAATATAGTTTAGTTTAGTGTATTTATTTATTTAATAAATATTATATATATACATGAAATATAAGTGAACAGATACCTGGAATCCTTTTTGCCACATAGTTTTCGTACTGCCTCCTGTGATGCTGTCTTGTCTCCAACGTACTAAGTCCTGGTGGCCACCTCCGCTCGTGTGCATTTTCCATCAACTCATTGACTATATGGGCGGGGCAATTACTGTCTATGAGAGCCCTCTTTATGACTGCTTGGAGAACTTGGTCGGGTGTTGAGATCATTCCGCCCCATCTAGTCACTCTGGCCACCTGCAGAGTCTGTGCCCACCTACGTGCATAATATTTCGCATTTTAAAGGTAAATTAGAGAGGAAGACAGTGAAAAAGCATGGAATAAACTAAAGAAGCATATTACATCATTCCGTCCCATCTAGTCACCCTGGCCACCTGCAGAGTCTGTGCCCACCTACGTGTATAACATTTCACATTTTAAAGGTAAGTTAGAGAGGAAGACAGTGGAAAAGCATGGAATAAACTAAAGAAGCATATATTACATCATTCCGCCCCATCTAGTCACCCTGGCCACCTGCAGAGTCTGTGCCCACCTACGTGCATAACATTTCGCATTTTAAAGGTAAGTTAGAGAGGAAGACAGTGGAAAAGCATGGAATAAACTAAAGAAGCATATATTACATCATTCCGCCCCATCTAGTCACCCTGGCCACCTGCATAGTCTGTGACCACCTATGTGCATAACATTTCGCATTTTAAAGGTAAGTTAGAGAGGAAGAAAGTTGAAAAAGCATGGAATAAACTAAACAAGCATATATTACATCATTCCGCCCCATCTAGTCACTCTGGCCACCTGCAGAGTCTGTGCCCACCTACGTGCATAATATTTCGCATTTTAAAGGTAAATAAGAGAGGAAGACAGTTGTAAAAGCATGGAATAAACTAAACAAGAATATATTACAATCCGCCCCATCTAGTCACCCTGGCCACCTGCAGAGTCTGTGGCCACCTATGTGCATAATATTTAGCATTTTAAAGGTAAATTAGAGAGGAAGATAGTGGAATAAGCATGGAATAAACTAAACAAGAATATACTAGATCATTCCGCCCCATCTAGTCACCCTGGCCACCTGCAGAGTCTGTGGCCACCTATGTGCATAACATTTCGCATTTTAAAGGTAAATAAGAGAGGAAGACAGTGGAAAAAGCATGGAATAAACTAAAGAAGCATATATTACATCATTCAGCCTCATCTAGTCACCCTGGCCACCTGCAGAGTCTGTGCCCACCTACATGCATAATATTTCGCATTTCAAAGGTAAGTTAGAAAGGAAGACAGTGTAAAAAGCATGGAATAAACTAAACAAGCATATATTAGACCATTCCGCCTCATCTAGTCACTCTGGCCACTTGCAGAGTCTGAGCCCACCTACGTGCATAATATTTCGCATTTTAAAGGTATGAGTCTGGGTATCGACTTAGAAAATATTGACAATTGTAATGTCTGAAAAACCAACTCAATCACACATATTATTAAACTTCAATATCTTATCCTTCTTCTGAGATTACAAAAATATCAATTGTATCACAATCGATGAAGAATATTGGCATCAAAGACAGTGCATATCACTTTGTCAGAATTGAAAAAAAAATCAATGGCAAATATTAATTGAATTATTTATGCAAAAAGTTTGAAACATATCTTCCAAAACATTGGTTACTTTCTTTGTATAGACATTGAATGGTATTTCTTGATAAGTGAATTGGTGTTTATCTGGGTAATCAAGGGATTATAGTCACTCAAAGTTACTGAGCATCCAGTTTTGAGATTTCAATTGTGTTGGTGAAGTTACACATATTTCAGTCAAATTCATGCTGAGCACAACATTTTGGTTTCAATTTTATAATCTCGATACATGAGCCTGGTGATGAAGAGTCAGAATCAGTCAAAAAACCTAAACCGGAAAACTGTGCTCATTGTGAAAACTAAAAGTGAAGCAACTTTTTTTCTGGTATTTCTTACATCAAATGGCAACCATTTTGTTTTTCCCCTTTCAAATTCAACTGGCGGGAAATTCAAAATTTTGAAAAAAAATTAAATCCTTAAATATATTTCAAAAATATGATTTTCTTTTTAATTCTTCATGGGTCTTTAGTTATTTCTTCTTTGTATGTCATACATGTTCCCATTGGTGTTTTTTCTATGATAATGACTATTTTCTTTTTGTTAAGATACTTATTCTGACTCTCAGCAGGGGGTTAATTATGCATCAAAACTCGTGAAAAAGTAAATATACTTATCAAATATAACTAGGACAGTAATAAAAACCATATTTCACATACATTTGACTGAGGGACCAAAAGGGCATATACCCGGACACATCCTTAGAAAAGAAGACAGTGGAAAAAGCATGGAATAAACTAAACAAGCATATATTAGACCATTCCGCCTCATCTTGTCACTCTGGCCACCTGCAGAGTCTGTGCCCACCTATGTGCATAATATTTCGCATTTTAAAGGTAAATTAGAGAGGAATAAAGTTGAAAGAGCATGGAATGAACTAAACAAGTATATACTAAATCATTCTGCCTCATCTCGTGACCTTCACTTCCTGTGCCCACCTACTGAAACAGCAAGAAAATCTTACGCATTGAATGATATCTAATTTCCCGGGGAAAATTGCCGGTCCAGAATATATTTTAGACCGGTCCATATGGATCACCACTATGACGTCACACATTTCTCAGGTCGATATAGTAAAATGAATGCCTTCTAAACTAGCACTAAAACCCCTAGAACTGGCCTGGCAAGGTGGTAATAATAGTAGTTATTGGTCATGTTTTTTCATTCGAAACTAGACAACAGCAACATCAAAGCATAGCAAATCCCATGGAACAGCCATGGCTGGCATTTTTACAAACAAAGTGTATAGCAAAAATGGCAGCCATTTTTCAAAATGACCACCTTCTACCACAAGTGTTATAAGACAGTGTGTGCGTACGTATGGACGGATGGAGGCATTCCCTATATCCCTCCGAATTTCGTTCAATTGGATAAGGTTGAAAAACGGAATCAGTAAGAAATGAACTAGACAAGAATATAGAGACAAAACAAAATCCATATGTGTGTCTTACAGCTAAATTCAGTGAAAGTCAATATAAGGATGAGGTAGTTGACGGAATCTTGGCGCGTCAATTTGAGTACTTTTCTCCGATTCAGAAAAATGAAAATATTTCAACACTAAAAACTGATTGTTCCCCTTTGTTCTCTGATTTTCTTACCTCAAGACTTCATTATTTTCCAGTTCAGTCTGCAGCTCTCGTAAGCGTGGGTTCGTCATTCTCAGATGTCGCATATATTCCTAAAGAAAATTTATTTTTTTATTTATTTTTTATTTTTATTTTATTTCATGATAATATAACAATGGAATGTACAAAGCATGTGCACTCGACACCCTTAGTAATTGGGCGTATCAGTGCATATATCAAAAATTATTGCAGAGCAATTCAATACATTAACAATAATTTATCTAATTGATGTTTTCTTATCTATTATCCAAAGTTGTGGAAAAACAAGTTTTGTTTCCCCTCATCAAATAGCTTACCATAATGTTGATTGTTTTTCACTTGAATTTTGAAATACATCATTCTTAGTTAATGAAATCATCTTTTACTCATTCCCCTGACAAAATTGACTCTGCTCTTCCACAACTGTGACAATTAAACATTCCAAATTGGAATTGTTCTCAAAATAAAACAAAGCGATATATTATACAGTGTTCTCCACAGGATTTTTTCACATGTGGGTGCAAAATTCTCATTTTCACAACCAAAATTGATCAAAATTTGCCAATTTTTCATGATTTTTCTCATTATCAAGTGGGTGCAAATGGATTATCAGGTTGGTGCAAGCCTGTTTTGAAAATATCTGGTGGGTGCTGCGCCCACTTGCTTGAATGCTTGGGAGATTACTCATATGTAATTTTAGTTATTGTCCTACAATGCTAAAATGAGAAAAAATCATACTTATGTTCAAATATATAGTTTTATAAATTCTCAATAAAAGCTGAACCCATTGCCTTCCCCAACAAAACCAAAATCTTTGGCAGATCATATCATACTCTTAAACGTTTAATTTTTGTACATTTCTTTTGTTTCTGCCATTTAAAAGTCATGTTATATGTATACAGGATATAGGCATGCCAGGGAAATATGAGCACCAAAACAAAATTTTACAGAAATTGTATCAATTCTGTCACTTTTCAACTGTTAAAAATGTTTTCAAATATAGTACTATTGTCACCTGGACTAAGCTCCACCTATTTATAACTTGCCTATTTTCAAATGCTTGCTTAAATGTAAAACAAAATTTTACAGGAATAATATCGAAATTTTTCAACAGTACAGAGTCCAAATATATAGTTAGGCTATACATGTACAGTGTTCTCCACAGGATTTTTGCTCAAGTGGGTGCAAAATTCTCCTTTTCACAATTCAGACAAAAATTTGTCAAAATATGCCAATTTTTCTTGATTTTTCTCATTTTAAAGTGGGTGCAAATGGATTTTCAGGTGGATGCAAGCCTATTTTTTAAATCTGCTGCGCCCACTTGTTTTAATGTAGGGGAAATCACTGAGCTATATCACCTATTTGAATTTGCCATTTTAATATCCAATAATTTCAAATTTGCCTCACCTACAGTATATTTGCCTCAGAGGCTGACCCTAGACTTAGTGAGGCAATCTTTGTCCCTTGTGAATAAAATGCTTACCTTTAACAGCATTATTTCACTCTTTTGTTCATTAATAAGAAGTTTCTGTTGAGCCAGTTCTGTTTGTAGTTCAGACATCTTTATGGCCTGTTGCTGAACAACAACTCTAAGCTCCCGTACACAGTTGTGGTCCTTTAAAATATACAATATACAATGCATATCTACAATACACAATGCATTAGATATTGATTCAGGATTCCATTTTTCCAAACCTCAAAAAGAATTCATAAATTTGCAAGTCAATCATTCATTTTGTACTTTCTCTGTTGATCTGAGAAAAAATAAACAACTTTGTATGATACTGAAATCCCAGAATTAACAGAAATTCTTCAATTTACCAAAAATGACGTATTCCAAGAAATCAGAGATCGAGAATGATATGAGCAGATTCATTCTCATTGTTTCATTGTATTTGTACCTTAACTTCATCTTTTGGAATGACAAGCCCACACCCAGAATCACAATCGACTGGTTTCTTCGGGTTATGTTCACATTCTGCTAAGTGAGCACTTAGTGCATCTAGCTTGACTATTGCTGTGCATCCAAATGTTGCGTTATCACAGTTTATTTGCAGTCGGGATAAGAGATTCCGTAATATCCTCGGAACTGGTTTCAGATCATTAGCTGTAAAGGCACTTCTGTCCACTGGACATGTTGGCTGTCTTTGAAGCCATTCTGTTATACAGGCTGTACAGAAGGCATGTTCACATGAGGGGGCCTGGAATTACATTATATATGAGCCACCAATATGATGATCATCCTCCAATCACAGGGCTTCAAAATCCAGAATATCTTCTTTCTTTTTACCCCCTGCGATAAGCAGTTAGCATTTCCCCGATTAAGAACTCGCAATTTGATTCGCTGTCGCAACACTGCGACAGTAATCATGTATATGTCATCGGTGCATAATTAGATCACGTGATTCAGTTTAATCGGGCGCTTCCAAATAGCAGGGGGGAGGAAAGAAGGAGGTACGGATTCTGGACACCTGCTTAGGAGGATGTATGATAATGGACAGAGAGACATATTGACAGACAAGTAAGTGATTACAATAGTCTGTTAAAAAGTTCATGTTTTATGTACATATCCGAATTTGGTGATACATATTATCAAAAATAAAATAAATAAATATTGTTGATGTCATAAATATCATATACCACTGTTTCACATAAACTGAACAATTTATCGATATATTTATGATATCCAATGATGATCATGAAGACTGAAACAGCTGATCATTTCAAATACATGAAACACTTGAATAGTACATACCTGTTGTTGCTCCTCCAGGAACCCACTACAAATAGTACATACCTGTTGAGGCTCCTCGAGGACCCCACTACAAATAGAACATACCTGTTGAGGCTCCTCCAGGACCCCACTACAAATAGTACATACCTGTTGAGGCTCCTCCAGGACCCCACTACAAATAGTACATACCTGTTGTTGCTCCTAAAGGAACCCACTACAAATAGTACATACCTGTTGAGGCTCCTCCAGGACCCCACTACAAATAGTACATACCCGTTGAGGCTCCTCCAGGACCCCACTACAAATAGTACATACCTGTTGAGGCTCCTCCAGGACCCCACTACAAATAGTACATACCTGTTGAGGCTCCTCCAGGACCCCACTACAAATAGTACATACCTGTTGAGGCTCCTCCAGGACCCCACTACAAATAGTACATACCTGTTGAGGCTCCTCCAGGACCCCACTACAAATAGTACATACCTGTTGAGGCTCCTCCAGGACCCCACTACAAATAGTACATACCTGTTGTTGCTCCTAAAGGAACCCACTACAAATAGTACATACCTGTTGAGGCTCCTCAAGGACCCCACTACAAATAGTACATACCTGTTGAGGCTCCTCCAGGACCCCACTACAAATAGTACATACCCGTTGAGGCTCCTCCAGGACCCCACTACAAATAGTACATACCCGTTGAGGCTCCTCCAGGACCCCACTACAAATAGTACATACCCGTTGAGGCTCCTCCAGGACCCCACTACAAATAGTACATACCCGTTGAGGCTCCTCCAGGACCCCACTACAAATAGTACATACCTGTTGAGGCTCCTCCAGGACCCCACTACAAATAGTACATACCTGTTGAGGCTCCTCCAGGATCCCACTACAAATAGTACATACCTGTTGAGGCTCCTCCAGGACCCCACTACAAATAGTACATACCTGTTGAGGCTCCTCCAGGACCCCACTACAAATAGTACATACCTGTTGAGGCTCCTCCAGGACCCCACTACAAATAGTACATACCTGTTCAGGCTCCTCCAGGATCCCACTACAAATAGTACATACCTGTTGAGGCTCCTCCAGGACCCCACTACAAATAGTACATACCTGTTGAGGCTCCTCCAGGACCCCACTACAAATAGTACATACCTGTTGAGGCTCCTCCAGGACCCCACTACAAATAGTACATACCTGTTGAGGCTCCTCCAGGACCCCACTACAAATAGTACATACCTGTTGAGGCTCCTCCAGGACCCCACTACAAATAGTACATACCTGTTGAGGCTCCTCCAGGACCCCACAACAAATAGTACATACCTGTTGAGGCTCCTCCAGGACCCCACTACAAATAGTACATACCTGTTGTTGCTCCTCCAGGACCCCACTACAAATAGTACATACCTGTTGAGGCTCCTCCAGGAACCCACTACAAATAGTACATACCTGTTGAGGCTCCTCCAGGACCCCACTACAAATAGTACATACCTGTTGTTGCTCCTAAAGGAACCCACTACAAATAGTACATACCTGTTGAGGCTCCTCCAGGACCCCACTACAAATAGTACATACCTGTTGAGGCTCCTCCAGGACCCCACTACAAATAGTACATACCTGTTGAGGCTCCTCCAGGACCCCACTACAAATAGTACATACCCGTTGAGGCTCCTCCAGGACCCCACTACAAATAGTACATACCTGTTGAGGCTCCTCCAGGATCCCACTACAAATAGTACATACCCGTTGAGGCTCCTCCAGGACCCCACTACAAATAGTACATACTCGTTGAGGCCCCTCCAGGACCCACTACAAATAGTACATACCTGTTGAGGCTCCTCAAGGACCCCACTACAAATAGTACATACCCGTTGAGGCTCCTCCAGGACCCCACTACAAATAGTACATACCCGTTGAGGCTCCTCCAGGACCCCACTACAAAAAGTACATACCTGTTGAGGCTCCTCCAGGACCCAACTACAAATAGTACATACCTGTTGAGGCTCCTAAAGGAACCCACTACAAATAGTACATACCTGTTGAGGCTCCTCCAGGACCACACTACAAATAGTACATACCTGTTGAGGCTCCTCCAGGACCCCACTACAAATAGTACATACCTGTTGAGGCTCCTCGAGGACCCCACTACAAATAGGACACAGCAACTCCTCATCTACTTCCCCTTGGAATCTAACCAAATCATAGCCCATTTCACTTTATTAGATTCCCTGAAAACAAAAGCAGTTTAAATGTACAGTCAGGTAAAACCAGTTTAATGGGACAAATGACTGAAATAGCACTACTAGATCATAGCCCATTTCACTTCATTAAATTCTCTAATTCTCTGAAAAACAAAAGCAGAATATTAAATGTATTATCTATGCTAGATCAAATCTCATCTCATCTGAAAACAAGCAGTCCAGCATTAGAGCAAAAAAACTGAAAATGATATGCACTCTGCCAAAATTGGGAAATATCATATTTGACCAACAACATTTAGAATGTGGATTTGGCAAAATAATCCAGGGATATCATTGACAAAAGCAGTTTATTATAGATTATATTTACTCAAGTCACAAATCAAAGATATCTGTAAGAATTGTAATTGTATTTAAATTAAAGAGTGCAATGTCACAAGTGAGATGTTGCATTATTTTGTCTGCGATAAGGGTCAAAGGATGCTATATAATTAAAAACATTTATAATTGTTGAACTTTATTTAAACATTAGTGTGAAACCAAAACTGCCATCTAAAGGTTAGACTTCAAAGTGGCCGATTGGGTAAATTAATTTGCATATTTGTTACTTCAACTAGCTTTATTTGCATTTGACAACATGCTGTGTTACTTTTTATTGCATTTAATTGTACCTTACTACTTAATTGAACTGTTATAATGTTTATTTTTGGGAAGTGAAGCTTCCTAGAATTGATAATTTTGTGCACAAAATTTCCTGTTATTTCCCACAGGAGGGACATGATCATCAATAGACTGAATTCTCAGAATATTCAGTCTATTGGATATAGACTAATCTAAAGGTGGCAGCTCTAAGTGAAACAATTCTCTCAAAATAAAAATGAATAACAATCACTTTTGAGTTTTTGAGCACATGAACTGAGGGAGAACTGAACTGTATATAAGACTATGTACATATAATTCCACAGATTATAACGCAAGAGCTTAAGCTGAATTGTCTATGTCAATAATCTGCAAAAGGCTTATTATAAAGCATCTACATCAATAATCTGCAAAAGGCCAACAAGCCCATTTAAAGCAGATTATTATAAACAAATGAATGCATAAGTAGCTAATAGTGTATGCGTCCCAAGGTCAGAACTCAGAGATGGTCTTGGAAGAAGGTCACTTGAGTATTGTGTTCATTCACGGGATTTGTAAGAAAGGTAGATCGTTTGACAAGAGTTTGGGTTTGCCACAAATTCTAGAGGAGCAGCACTTTATGCAATGCAATCTCTTTTCAGTGTAGAATTACTTCAATTTTGATTCTATAGTACTAATTATTCTTGAATATCACTGCACAGAACTAGTCGATGTCCAGGGTTTGTTCACTAGAGGCAATCTGCGCGAGATTCCATTTTTAGGTTCGGTTTTTAGCGCATGCGCACTAAATCCAGCAATTTAATTGGTTCAAATTATAATCACGCATGCGCGAATAATAACTTAATAAGAACATTTAATTTGAGATAGATGTCACTTACGTTCATTATTTCACAGCAGTCCCTACCCATAATGCACCATATAGTGTGGGAATAATTTTGTTTTGTGCCAAAACAAAAAGAATACACCCAAAACAAATGTAATGACATAATATCAACCTGCCCCGGATTTGTAGATGTGTGTTGTACAAACTTAAACCGAACCGATGGCAGAAAAGCACTTTGAATCATGGGAGTGAAATACTTCCTTTAATGTAAAACCGAACCAAGTAAAAACCGAATCTCGCGCAGATTGCCCCGACTCGGTTTGTTGCTGTTTTGGGTAAAAATAAATTTAATGACCCTGACCTGAAAATCAATACCCTTTGCATTCGTTTGACTTCACTTCTTAAAAGAGAGCTTCGTCTTCACTCTTTCAAACTAAAATAAACCTGTGAACTCACCGCGCCAATCAGTGTTCGTCGGCCAAATTTGACCGACGTTCTTTATATGGTCATTCCTTCTGACGTCATCGTTGAGCCCGGAATTGACCAATGACATGCGCATATTTAATTAGAACATATTTGGCGTATGTTTCTACAAGCTCGCTGATTGGTGGAAGGTTGGTGTGTAGGTCAAAAGTGATTTACCCAAACTGTCACCGGTACCCGTCGTGGGGGCGGGGCTACTAAACTGTAATATGGTCTCTACAAGGCAGAGTGTAGTTTAACTAGACTCTGCACGCAGGGTAGAAAATCAAAACAAAAATTAAAAATATAAGAGTTCAAGAAAAAAATAAGTCCCTATAATGAAAACGCTTCATCTTCTTATGTTTGATAACAATCTTACCTGACCCATGTCAAAAAAATAGTCTCCAATCGAGCGGAAACATGGTAAAACTACTTGTTTTAAAATATTTCGGAAAAAATCTTGAAGTTACTTCCTGCTAAACGTGCGCATGCGCAACGAGCACATTTGCACTATAATTCCGAACGGCCCTATTATCTGCATGAATGTTCCCGAACTCCCGTGCAGTGATATTATACCGAGACACTGCATGGGAGTTCGGAGTGTTCCCTTTTCAAAGTCCTCATTGATTTTGTGGTTGTGTGATCAGTGGCGTTGGAACAATGTACGCCAAAACGCCAATGCGTAGTGTTGAAAAACAGCTTAGGGTGTATTTTTCTACGACCGCGGTGCAAGTGAAATTTATACGGTTGTGTAATATTCAAATTTTTTACACAGTGGTATTTTGCACATACAATTTAGCTAATTTTAGGATTAAAATCATGCTCGCGGTCAAAAACCTGAGTTTCATTTCGCAAACCTGCGTTATATCGTGTTACATATTTGATATTTTCTTTAAATCATATCAAAGATCGGCTTTCCATCGTGATTATAAATAATGAAAAACATGTGATCATTTAATTAACATTATTTGGATAGATTAATAATATTATAAAAATGACGTTTTACAAGCATAAAATAGTACAAGGTGTTCTGATATAGGTAGAAAATTTGACACAATTTTCTCATATTTAATTGCGTTGTGTTGAATTTACACCTTCCTACGCCCCTGATTGTGTGGATTTTTTGGCTAACAGTTAGTTGACTTGTTGAATGTTGTTGTTGACTTGTTGTTTCTTATACGAACTGGTAACAGTTTCAGAAAATCGTCCAGAATGTTTACGAATCTTGCTTTTAATTCCCTGAAATAAAAAATCCGTAGTTATCACGCGGCAGAATTTTTGTCATTTGTAGGATTCGGGTCATTCTAAGATTATGGAGAGAAATAAGCCTTAGAAAAGTAGCCACTGGCAGGAATTATAAAAAAAAGATCATGTATAGTCACTGGTATGTGTGGGAATTGAACCTCGGACTGACTTAACACCATAAAACTGTTGGCTGTCTGTTCAGGTGTAAAAGGGTAGGAGGTCCTATCAAATTATGGTCCTACTCTCTATTGATTTATATGGTGACCTAAATACAACGCTTTCCCTCATTACCGTATACGCAATCGGGGCCAGTAAGGGCCGTTAACAAAGGGGACCATAATCCCTGGGGGACCATCATTTCTTTCACACCGGCACTGGCGGATTCAAGGGGGAGGGCCGGCAGGGAAATGGGACTAAATTTTTAGGGCCCCAAAAAATGTTGGCCCCAAAAAAATTGTAGGACCGTAAAAAGTGAGCCTTTCCGGGCATTACTTGGCCGTTTAGGCCAAACTATGAAAATGGGCCTTAAATGTGCCGCCTTTTTGTCAGGATCCACCATTGTTGTCAATACTACTGCCAAAGGCGACCTTTAAAACCTATAAGAAATCCAAAACGGTTTTTGTTGACATTCAAAAATTGGTACCTTTGATTTAAATGATTGAAATAATGCATGTCACCCTGGGACTCCAGTCACATAAATAGAAGTATTTACACGGTGGCGTGTTCACATCTGTTTGCCATGTTGCAATAGGCCTCGGATATTAATTCTGCGATTAACAAAAAATGTTTTTGTCGACAGATAACTTTGTTGGGAATATACACTTTTTTAAGTGTCACCCACTCATGCATTGTATATTTGTGTGAATTTAAAAAAGGAAAACATTAATAAACATGACGTGATTTATCTTTTCTTATCCTCATAACTAATTTTATTCAAAACACATATTAAAACAACGTATTCTAGAACTTTTGAATTTGTATCAATTTACCATGCGGAGTAAGTCACCCTCCCTCTTATTTTCTGTAGCCTGCATCTGCATATAGTGAATATTAAAAAGGGAATGACTTACTCCCCGTGCAATTTAATAAACGTTAACTACTGACGTCCTTTGCGTATATTAATTCGAGCGAATATATTCACGCGAAACCACTGTGCTTTAAAAAACATTTTATCTATGTATGTTAGCCTTATGTACGTAAGGTAAATATCAAGGGATCACGTTCAGTAAACTGATAGTTGTGCATGCAAAATTGGAGGGAAACTATCCCAGGGACAAATGCAAATTAAAGATGGAGAAGCTCTGCTTTCTTGGTTTACTATTTCTGGTACTCTTCTGCAATAGCGGTGAGTACAAAATCTTACATATTATAATGGTCAATATAATATATGTAAACTTGCAGATTGTATATATTATCCTTTTTTCAGAAGCCATACGATGTCTCTAAAATACGTTTTTACTGTTATCGCCAGTTTCAAATAGAAATGTGTTCTGATAGAGCGATCTTTCCAATACAAACACACACTCATTAAGTTAAAATAAGTAACTATTCACGTATGCCTTCTGTAAACTTGAGGCTCAGCTGGAAAGTAACATTTTGGTAAAAAATTGCTATACCAGCACATGTTATTTTCTGGTACAAAATTAAGTATGAAGGCACTTGTGTATTTCCTTGCTTTTTTCAGGAAAGTATTATTACACTGTCTACTTTTAGTAAACCTGGAAACGGGTTGAACACATTGAACTCCTACCAGATATTCTAAAAGAAGACAATGTCATGATACTTTCCTGAAAAAAGCAAGGAAATTGACACATGCCTTCATACTTTATTTTGTACCAGAAAATAACATGTGCAGGTATAGCAATTTTTACACCGATTATTTTCCAGCTGTGCCTTAAGTTTAAAAAAAGAAAAAACACTGTCCAAAAAACTAGTAATGGGTATCTGTTTTAACAAGCTATTTCTTACAACCCCCTGGCCTGGGCTACTACAATGGTACCCCTCTTCATCAAACTAGCCTATCGCTAATTTACATAGAAACTAAAGGTGAGAGAATCGCAGAGTGTAGGACAGAACATATATGTCTCATTTATTGTTGTGTTATTGCATATGTTATGTGAGTGTGCTTTGGTTTTTCCCAATCCCAGGACGCTGCAATAATGGAGGAAGCAAATGCAGAAACGATGTGTCTCATTTAAGTGATGTTATATTTTTTCAATCCCAGGACTTTGTCATGGTGAAGGAAGCAACGAGACTCTGATTGCAGAAATAATATGTCTCATTTAAGTGATGTTATATTTTTTCAATCCCAGGACTTTGCCATGATGAAGGAAGCAACGAGACTTTGATTGCAGCCGAGGCGAGGTTGATGAAGTATCTATTTGAAGACATGAATTATGATAAATACGCCAGACCAGTCCGCAGGGCAAACGACACTGTCAAGATGAAATTTGGATTGAATCTGATCCAAATTGTTGACTTGGTAAGATTTGCTTTGATATTTAAGTAGATAAACTGTACTTATATATTGCTCTACATGTTATGGGCTCGCCAAAGTTTTAAAGAAAATATCAACCCAGACATTATTTTCTCAGTTTTTATTTTGAATGATATTAGACGATAGCCCCCAACTTACATTGTAAATTAATACTTGTTTACAATTACAAATAGGCATATTTAACACTAATTTCACCTTAAAAGATATACGTGGATGCATCAAAAAACTGAACTTCAATTTTGAATAGCATTTTACCCAAGAGTAAACAAAATCAAACAGAAGAAGGTTATACATTCAATTCAACGGGTTTTCACCAACATCTATCTTTTTCCCAAATGTCATAGTATGAACGTTCTTAAACTCCTTATTTGGGCATTTTACTCCCCGTTATCACACGCTATACGATCAGCTTATGGTATACAAAAACCGGGACAAAACACAATGCACGCACAGCGAGTGATTTACCTGGTTATGCATTTTATTTCAGTTTTAACATGATTATATTTGCTTAAACTGTGTGAAAATCGTTTAGTATGGTAAACCAAGCAAGGGGTAATATATCATTAAATCGCATTTATGTATGGTTGCACATTCAAGTACTATATGTTCGCTTGCACATATTTGTCGAACTCTGACAATTTAAGGGGTCCCCAAGAGGGGGCAGTGTCACTTGTAAAATTAAAAATTTGTCACTTAGTCATATTTAAAATGTTCTTGCCATATTTTGTCAGATTCATTCCTTTCTGCATCCTTAAATTAATTGTTAAAACCATTTTTATATACCTACACGTAAGTGCTTTCTTTTATATTATAATTATATGTAGTCTAGATGTCCTTTTTAACATTTCTGTTAAACCGCAACATATACCCACTAGGGTGTCTAGCGGCTTGTTTTTATAGTGTATATTATATAACAATTATGAAATAAATAAATTGAATTGAATTGAATTTTAGTAAGTCGATCAAAGCATCTAATGTAACAAATGGTCTGTTATGTTCCAGTGTTTGATTTTTATTTAGAATAAGTCATCTTAATGGGGCAACAAGGACTGTAGAGAGAAAATTTGAATTGTTTTTTCTTTTATTCTGAGTTATCAGGTCAATATTTGGCTTAACATCTTCTTTGATATACCTATTTTCTTAAAATGTATGGATAAACTATCAATTTCAGCATTGAGAAGTGTAGATTCAGTTCAAAGCTTCTATAAAGGGAGTCCCACTTATAGATTTGTAAGATTCACCACGTTTCAAGAGGAATCCCATCAGCTGAAATAATGTTCATCCAGGGAGTTTCTTTGAAGATAATAAAAATATATGTTAGTTTTGATGAAATATCCAAACTTAAATCTATTTTGACACTGGTCGATGATCGTTGAATGGCCACCTGCACTAATTGTTGCACCTTTAACTTGCATCCAATTACATTCAGAACGAATTGTTTAATTTGTCACTTTCAAATCACTTGTCAGTCAGATAAATGAGCAAAATTGTCACTTGCAAGGATTGATTTGTCACATTTGTTCGTCACATTGTAAGTCACATTTTTAGAGGTTTGGTCGCCTTGTCACATAACCCTTCGGGAGCCCCAACTTAATGGCATCTCATATTGTCAATTCATTAAAATTGTGAATTGAAATGAAATACAAACGCAAACTAGATGAATTAAGGTGGGCAATAAAGAAACTAAACCAATAAACTACTTACGAGCTCGCTAGAATACCCCAAAATTAAAACAATCTACAACTATTGTTGACGTTATTTGTTCTGGTAATTTTAAATCAACTTTTCATGTAAATGTATTGTAATGATTTGAGTAAGAATGAATGTTTCGGGGGGGGGAGGTTAAACATTGCCTCTTTTCACGTTAGAGTATGGTTTGGGATAGTTGGGTTTTGTTTTCTTTATGACTGGTGTACACTTAGATATATGTTTTCTTTTTCTTGTTTTTTTATGTAACAATTTTGGTCATTTCCTTCAGGCACTTGAGCATACATATTTGTTTCTTCAAGCCTTCTGCGCCCTATGAAAAACATGATGTAAGATTGCGTAATTTTATTCTAAGACAACACGTATGGCTAAATCATATGATTAATATGTACATGTATAATGCCATATAATATTTTTGGGATTTGTTGATAAATTCGACATCACAAAAAGTATGACTCAAAAACATTACATCTGATACGGAAGCTGAAGGTGTAAATAAATTATACAAACTTAAATTGGAATATATTTTGAATTATACCTGGTATATACCAGTATACTTTTTGAGTGATAATATGTTTTGAATACAAATGATTCGATTCGTTTTATATAGTTTAATATGAATTAGACAAATTAGATTATAGATTTTATTTATATTGTTTCAGGATGAGAAAACCCAGATACTAACCTTGAGCTTGTTTATAACAAAGGTAAGCGTTCGTATATCCACCGTAGAATTCGGCCGAGGGACTGGTACTAATATGGAACCACAAGTTGATTGAAGTGTTCCAAAATGAGTGTGTTTATATGGTGACCTCTTTCACTTATTATCTTATACACAATCAGGGCCAGAAAGGGCCGTTAAAAAGGGGACCATAATCTCGTGGGGACCATAATTTCATTCACACCGGGACTATCTTTAATTTGTTACCTTCTGCTGGGGATAATGAATGATTAATTTGTGAACTGCGATACATTGTTTTTTCAATGGCTATGACGTATTCTCTTAGATTATGAAGATATGCACGCATGCCCTTAAAATTAGGCCAATGTCTACGTTAGCAAATAAAATATCCAAATCGTACAACTTCCCCCTCTCCCTCTTGATGGCTCTCTCGACCCTGATATTAAGATTGTACTAAAGGGTGAATAATTCATTCTAGAAATGGGATGATATCCAATTAACATGGAACCCTGATGATTTTGATGGTGTCAAGACATTGCGAGTGCCTGTATCTAAAATATGGAGACCTGATGTCGTGCTTTACAATTCGTAAGTTAAGGCTTACCCTTATGTGGGAAAGGGGGAGGTAGCGATTATTAGCCATTATTGCTGATCCGCTTAAATCAGCTTTAGATAATGAAAAGTGAAATATATTAATTTACTTTCATTGAACAGATAAATCTAATGAATATGGAATTTAAAAGAATATCTGTAATATCTGCCATGTTAGTTGACCCCGAATTAGCAACCTGATGGTTAAACTTCCTTTAGGCACCTTGGTATTTGGAATTCAAATCATTTTTGAGTATTAAAAAATATAATATATTGTGATGTTTGGCGCTATTTCAGGGCAGCGGAGGAATATAAGATGACGTTCGAGGCAAATGTCGTGGTTTACAACACTGGAATGATTTACTGGATTCCACACGCAATGGTCAAGACTTACTGTCAACTCGATATGTCAAGATTCCCATTTGATGAGCAGAAATGCGAACTTAAATTCGGATCTTGGACATATGATGGTTATTTGTTGGACGTTGACGTAAGTTTAATGTGATTTCTTCCCAACAATTCATTTCCACACATTTTTGAAGAATTCAAAAAGACTTCATACAAAAGAAATAATATACTGTAGTATGCATACCTGCCAACCTACCGTATTTTTACGGGAATCTACCGTAAATTTTTCGTTTTTCCGTAAAAAAATGACAAACTTCCGTAAAAAAATACCATGTTTTTCCCGTAAAAACGCCCGTAAAAAAATTTACCGTTTTTTTTCGAAATCTACCGTAAATTTTTTTTCTAAAAACTCGTTTCTTCCATGAGAACGGCCGTAAAATCTACCGTAAATTTTTGAAAATCTACCGTAAATTTTCGAAAATCTACCGTATTTCTGCTAAAATCAACAGTATTTTTGTTCAAACTACCGTAAAATTTCCCGTTATTGTTGGGAAATGCTGAAAAATTGAAGTCTTCCTGTACTGTCTCTGTAATATTCCTTCACCAACCCGAATATAAATAGGTATTGACAGGTCTGTGGTTATCAGGTTATTGCGCATTTATCTAAGTACGCTGGCATATAATCAGTCCAAACACCAACTACCACAAGAAAGAATTCTTTCTGACATGATTTTTGTAGTTAACCAAACCCTTTTGTACACAGATCTTTATTCCGAATGCAACAAAAATATGATTTTAGTTGCGCTTCATCTAAATAAATGAGTGGAAATGACAAAAACTACTTGCTTTACCGTATGCAATATGCGTAGTTTGGTTTATGATCAGTACTGAACGCCACACATTATACATAGTTTAATCAATTTGTTTTCAGTACGATAAAATGTTGTATTTTTCATCTGAACACATTATATCAGTAACAAATACATAATGTATATACCAACCAGCATGAGGATTATGGAATTTTTTCTGCATCTTTATTCTATTTTCACACTTTTGGATTTGATTACAACCATTCGATATTCCACTCTATTAAAATGGTTCGAAACACGTAATAAATTCGTTTGTTTTTACACATTTATATTTGATTTATGTAACTATATATGCGATAAATGCACTTGTATATGCGGTTCATGTTATTCAGTGTTTGGTAAAATGTCACATATTTAAGTCACGAACAAAGACGGTTGACACATAATATATTTAGAACACACATCAAATACAAATATACTTTAGAACCAAACAATGTTCATTTACCGAACATTTACCAAATAGCACGGACATATAGTGACTTACCCCACATAATTAATGACATATTGCACATAAAATCATGTGGGGTAGGTCAAATTCTTCCACAAAACTAGTTATTTTAAAATCTATCGCAAAAACTACCGCATTTTTTCCAAATTTACCGAAAAGTACCGCATTTTTGGCAAATCTTCCGCAAAATTACCGGTTTTTCCAAAAGTTACCGTAAAAACTACCGCAATTTTCAAAATCTGCCGTAAAACTACCGCATTTTTGGCAAATCTTCCGCAAAAGTACCGGTTTTTTCAAAAAATTACCGTAAAAACTACCGCAATTTTCAAAATCTACCTTAAAACTACCGCGTTTTTTCCGAATCTTCCGCAAAACTACCGCTTTTTCAAAAAACTACCGCATTTTTTCAAAATCTACCGTAAAACTACCGCATTTTTTCAAAATCTTTCGCAAAACTACCGGTTTTTCAAAAAACTACCGTAAAAACTACTGCATTTTTTAAAATCTACCGTAAAACTACCGCATTTTTTCTAAATCTTCCGCAAAACTACCGCTTTTTTCAAATTTCTACCGTAAAATTACATTTTTTTCAAAAATCTACCCCAAACCTCTGAAACTACAGTATTTTTTTAAATCTACCGCAAAAACTACCCTTTATTTTATAAATCTACCGCAAAAACTACCATTTTTTAAAATATCTACCGTAAAAACTACCGTTTTTTCTAAAATCTACCGTAAAAACTACCGCAATTTTGTTGAAAAATACCGCAAAATCTACCGTATTTTGAAAAAATGTACCGCAAAAATACAGCAATTTAAAAAAAATCTACCGCAAAATTTTGGTCTTAGGTTGGCAGGTATGAGTATGATAGATTGAGCGTGGTGAGGATAACGCATTTTGCGAGAAAAATGTAAATAGGCGAGGTTTTGTGCCAATTGAGGTGATATTTTACTACCTTTGAATAACATTTTCATCCTTTAAAAAACTTCTGTCAAAGTTTGGCAGGGAACTGCCTCGTGCCTGGTTATACCCAGTTGCCGGGTGGATGGTTCATTATCTGAAGGTGATGTGTTTTCATTTGCAGCCATCAGAGTACAATAACGCAGAAGTATCATCCTTGTACAAAGTGAATGGAGAATGGGAAGTTACGTCATGGGACTCTAAGAAAAACGTGGTATACTATGCCTGTTGTCCCGAACCATACCCGGATGTCACCTTCACACTTGGCCTTAAGGTAGGATATAACGCAACCTTCTCAATCGGCAAAATAACCTTACCTCCGATGGTATAAGTAATGGTTAATATTGTGTATATCAGTATGTGACACAGAGCAATCTATCTGTTGATATAAATTATGTGTCTGCATATTTGGAGCATCAAAAAGTGTACATTGTGAACATCTGGAATGATCCCGAGCACGCCGTGGGTACAAGACGAGCCAAAACGATAACCGAAACAGATGTCACCCAATATGGGTTTAATATCATCTAATGACTATTGATTAACATGTCTTTTGGTCACTTTTTCTCACTTTGTAGATTTTATAAACTCCATGGTTTGACTAATGTTATAAATATTTACAATTTATTGAATAAACGATCTTATATTTTCAGAGAGTGTCAATTTACCACAAATATATGTTCTTGTTCCCTGTCATCATGCTGTGTATATTGACCGTATTCCTCTTTGTGCTGCCACCTGAATCTGGAGAGAAAGTAAACCTAGGTAGGTCACCGTTCTATCTAGAGGGCTCCCCAAGAGGGGGCAATGAGGTCGCTTAAATGTCACTTTTACATTTTCAAAATTTTCACTTTGTCACATTTTAAATTTACTTGTCATATTTTGTCAGATTCATTCCTTTAGCCAGTCAAAGTATTTAATGCACTAAATAGTATTTTATGTTCCATTGTTTGATTACTGGTAAGACTAAGTCATCTTAACTTGCATTAATTTACATTCACAACGAATTGTCTATTTTTGTCACTCTCAAAACACTTGTCAGTCCGATAAATGTACAAAATTGTCTCTTGCAAGCATTTATTTGCCACATTTGTTCGTTTTTAAGTACCCGAAAGTCCCATTTAGTCACATGTTTAGAGGCCAGGTCGCCTTATCACATACCCATTGGGGAGCCCCATCTAGTGAATCTAGAAAGGTACTCATTCTAGAACGATATTGTGAGTAAATTTGCAAACGCACTCGTAGTTCGTTTTGGTATTATGTTCACCAATGACTATACAACTTCAAACCATTATTGTCAAGACATTAGAAAAAGCCAAATGTAATTTCATCTTGTGTTGCAGGTATTGGGATTGTTCTGGCTTATGTCTTTATGCTGCTCATGTTGGAAAACTACCTACCAACTGAACTGGTTCAAGTTCCTATGATAGGTACGGTATGAAGAATTAGTTTGTCGCCTTCCCTTTGCTATGCGTTCATGAATCGATTGTGAATTTTTGCAATTACTTAGAACAAATTGAAATTGATTTTGAAATATTTGTTATAATTGGTATTTTGACATTTTGCTTTCTTACTTTGCTTTTGCCTTTTTTTAATGTATGATTTCAAAGTTTTTCAAAAATATTGACAGTATTTTTTGCCCAGTCTGTATATCTGAATTGTTTCCAGGAGCTTACTTTTGTTTCAACCTCGTCATTGTGATACTGTCAATCATTATCTCAATCTTTGTGCTGAACATGTGTACCACATTGTATTTCTGAATTGTTTCCAGGCGCATACTATTGTTTCAACCTCGTCATGGTGATTCTGTCCATCATCATCTCCATGTTTGTGCTTAACATGTGTATTCGCGGGCCTAGAAGAGGAAGCCCACCAAATTGGCTCAAATCGGTATGTGGGCATTTACGATAATTGATATTTTCAAATATAGTCGAATTCTGTTATTCTACCAAACCATGCGCCATGTGTGTCAAAACAACGACGACATTTAATGTTAGCTATTTTAATGTCAACAGAACTGGCTATCATGATCATGTGATATATACTGAAAATATTGCTTATAATTCTTAAAAACGGCTTTAAAGTGTGCGCCCGACCTGGCTACGTATATCACAGAGTTTATACTGGCGGATTAGACTAGTTCATTTTTTATATGTGTGTGAAAGCTTTCTCTTTTTTTTTTTTTCTTTTTCAAAATTATCGTATATTGTATTTCACCTAAAATATCGTATATGGTATAAGAGCTGTGAAAAATATTGTATATGGTATAAAAGGAGTGAAAAAATATTGTATATGGTATAAGAGAGCTGAAAAATATTGTATATGCATTTCCAAGACCCTTTATACACCCCCCCCCCCATCGAACAATAAGGTATTTAAAGGGAATGCGAAGTTTTGTCCCTTAAACTTGATAATAAGTTAGAATAAAGATATATCTTTCAATCCAACTTAGTTTTATTGTTCTATCATTATCCTTTTAATTGTTATTGAGCCCCGGGTTTTGCATATGAACTGGACCACGGAGCTGCCATTTCAACCGTAAAGTGGTTCTTTACGACATTGTTATGACGTCATTGATGCCAGATTGATGCCTTGGCATTCCAAAAGTTTTGTGGCGCCATTTTTGAATCAAAAAATGAATGCCTAGTTGTTGCCATTCCAAAACCAAAGAAATCATTTCAATAGAATATTAACGCCGGCATTTTCGGAATTGCTTTTTACCTATCTAGACATAGAATGCGGGTTAGATTTATTCTTTATTTACACTTGAAATAATCTGGGATTCGTGACTTTTTAACTTTTATTAGGTCTAGCGCTAAATGCGAACAGAGAATGCTAATTCTATCAGGCGAATGCAAACTATTCGAATAAAACAAAATAAAATTAATTCAACCAACCCATCTTGAATTTCCAAGAATGCAATGGTTTAATTTGCTAGTCTCATTACAAAAACACGTGTTCGTACTTTAATATTCATTGCATTTATGTTTATCTTTAAAACAGGTATTCAAAGAAATTAAAATTTTAAAATTAAATTTTAAAACCGTATTCAATTACCATCATGGATTCTTAGCCTCACGTCACATTTTTACGGGGACCGTACGGTCTATCATTTCTGTGGTGAGTAGGATTTCTACGGTTGCCTAAGTATTTCTGCAGTCAGATAATTTAGCAGTCACATTTGCTAAGATAGCCGTACGGCGTATCTTGATTATGAGGAAAAACTACGATTCCCGTACGGCTGATAAATGATGACGCACGATCAGCGTAGGGCGGCCCTACGACGTGCGTAGTTTTTCTTGAAGGCATCCACAAGGGGTTCTATGGTTCGGAAAGGTCAATTGTATCCTATGAAATCCAAGCGCAGCCGCAAGTCGACCGTGAACCCGACGTGCGGCCGTCGTGAGACCTACGGATTGGCTGCTGCTTGTTGTTGATATTTATAGTGACCACAGGAAAGAAAAAGTAATAACTCGCATTGAACAAATGTGACAAGCTTTTAAAGTTCCACTTATTTTCCGATATAGAAAAACAAAAGGTTGTATGCCATTAAATTGAAAATCATTATTTCGAAAATACCGTAGAACTGTACTTACCACGGATGTTATATAATTAAATTCGAGCTCGAAATCAGGAATTGTTTTTAACAAAAATAAATATATAATAAAATAAATATTAAACTATTGGCGTACTATCAATACGGCAATTGCCTCATCGTCGTTGAAATGAAATATCATACTACAATCGACCCCATCGTCTCCCAGCATCACTAAATGTTATGAGCCTTCTCTTGTCATGATCCAAGGTGAAATACCCTTGAATTTTGAAAAGCTTTTTTGTCATATCTAATGTCGCTACGGTGATATGATGATTGAAATTGGTCGTTTAACAACTGAGAAATTAAACATTACGTATTATTCTTTGAAAATATGACAGTGGCATGTCCTTGTAAAGCTATTGCCAATCTTAGTATTTAGGAGATCAGAATTCAAATGGCTAAACACTTCAGGGAGTTACTGTTTCATTGGATTGCTACTTTTTGTTTTATTTCTTTCATTCTCCAATATGCACCTATTCATATTTGAATAGAATACTACAGATTGAAGAAATCTACCACTTATGATTAGGTAAGAAAGCAATTGCGGCAGTATGCCTATTTGCCGACGTAAACCTTAAGGTTAATAATGATGTGCCGTAAATGCTCATCAGCGCATTAATGAACATTAGCATAGATTTTTATTTTTTAAATGGTATGTCGTGTATTTACGTAAATATGGTAAATGCAACTATTTGTTGGATGCGTTCAGCCGATGATATAACTTACTTATTTTCACCACAAATACGCCAACACATTAGCCACATTAATCTTAGTTAAATAAATCCCCATTGATGCACAGTAATGCATTTATGTGTAAATGCCATTTTGTATATTTTAATGCATTTACCTCATTTATTGGTAAAATATACAAGAAAGCATTTACAGGATTTGAACAGATTTATCCTTTTTGACCCAATGTTATCATTATATAAAATAATTCTAGTGGACATTTTTCAAGTGGAATATAATGCGATGACTTCCGAATCGCGCAGCCGATATCTCATAAGTTTAGTGATTTTTCTACCTAGCCTATACTATATCACATTTGAGAAAATAAATACAAACATTTGAAAAAATACATTGCAACAATTCAATTTCTATGAAGAATATATTGAAACAACTTTTCCAAATATATGATATGATATGGACATGAACATGCGGCAACAATGTCAAGCGGACAGAAATAGTTATAAAATATCAGTGAAATGTGTTCTATTTCTGCGATCCGAGTATGACGTGATTATATAGCGACATTTCCCAGGCATCGGTTGAAGACCACAGTAGAGTTTCCCATAGGTGGCCATTATAACATTTTACCCTGTATCTTATTAACGATTAGTATCCAAGCCTAGTGCAACATACCACAGTGTTCGGGAGAGACTCGCCTAGCCTGCTATAACAATCTTACCATGGGTTGTCCACCGAATTTTTGAAATAAATAAACTTGAAGACACTAACCCCCTCTATCGTCAGATTTCTCAGAGAATTCTGGTAAAATCACCAAGGTCAAAATCACTCCGCCGCCAGCTTAAAATGAGATTTTCCACTGAACTCTGACATGTTTTCAGATAAATTAGGACCTACCCTATAAATATTTAGTCCCGATTCACTTCCCAAACGCTAGATGGCGCTCCAATGGGGTAGGGAAGGAGAAAATGACTTTTTATTCAGAAAACCAAATCACTAACGGTAACCGCTAATGTCCTTACTCAGGACTATATCCTAATAGGTTGAAGACCACAGTAGAGTTTCCCATAGGTGGCCATTATAACATTTTACCCTGTATCTTATTAACGATTAGTATCCAAGCCTAGTGCAACATACCACAGTGTTCGGGAGAGACTCGCCTAGCCTGCTATAACAATCTTACCATGGGTTGTCCACCGAATTTTTGAAATAAATAAACTTGAAGACACTAACCCCCTCTATCGTCAGATTTCTCAGAGAATTCTGGTAAAATCACCAAGGTCAAAATCACTCCGCCGCCAGCTTAAAATGAGATTTTCCACTGAACTCTGACATGTTTTCAGATAAATTAGGACCTACCCTATAAATATTTAGTCCCGATTCACTTCCCAAACGCTAGATGGCGCTCCAATGGGGTAGGGAAGGAGAAAATGACTTTTTATTCAGAAAACCAAATCACTAACGGTAACCGCTAATGTCCTTACTCAGGACTATATCCATCAATTTTAAGGCATCAATGACGTCATTGATACATAACAATGGCGGCATCCGCAGCGATCGAGATATGGGTACTTTGAACTTGAATTATATGTTAGTTCAAACACGATATGTCCCATGAGTGAGCTGAAGTGATAGATGATGGTTATAAGTAGCCAGCGTGTAAATTAGAACATGAAACTTCGCATTCCCTTTAATGTTGAATCTGGAAATAACAATTTTGTAACACTTTAAAGGTATCACTATTTCAAAATACTAGAAATAAAATGTGCAAAGTATCCATAGTCACCTTTGCTGTATCTAAAATTGCCCTATGTTTCTGGAAATCCAAGAACAACTTGGCGGTTATTAAATACCTCAGATAACGTCATACTATGTACATTTTAAAAGTAATATATAACGTAATATAAGTAATCAATTATGCTTCTTTAAATCCGTTAAAGATCATCAGAGCATTTCTGTGATTTTCAAATGCAAATTCAAATTTACTTCATTTATTGATATAAAATATAACTACAATGGGCATCATAAGCCAAAAGACCTAAATCAAAAAAAAATGTGGCTATAAACAGATAAAATGTAATTATACAGAGCAATCTTCATCCTCTTGCGCTATATCTAAACTTGTCCTGTGTATCTGGAGATCCAGAACAACTTGAGACGGTCATTAGATACCTCAGAAGATGTTATACTATGCAAATTACCTGCTATGTAACTATTCTATATGGGTTAATCGTTAATTCAAGCCCCTTTTAAGGTAACTCATAACTTAATCAAATATCCAAGATGGCCGAAACCAGGAAGCACATGGCATTTGAGTATAATCTGACCATCAAAATTAACTGTCTTTTGGTTGGATTTTCTCTCAATTTTTTAGTTCCACTTATCATTTATATAACCAGGCTCACTGTGGTAATGCAAATAGAAACAGTAAACATTTTGGAATGGCAATTTGAGTCCTCTGAAAATGTGACAGAAAAATTGACAAAAAGAGTAGCACGGCTAAGGTCCCTGAACATTTTTTTTCTAATTTCTGTGAAACATCCCTTTAATATAGCCCAAAATGGAAGGATCTTTAGAATTTTGAAATCTCTCATACAAATTAAAA